CTCCGTTTGGCGCCCTGAGGATCTACGCAAAAGATTCTGACACCCACAGAGGCACCAACCAGGGGTCCAGGCTGCCCACAAATGATGACAGTGCTAACCCCACAGACGACTCGCCAAGTCGCAACTTCTGGTAAGCAGGCTCATAATAATAGCGCTTCGCATTAATAAGGTTTGCCGACAACGGGTCTAAGTTGAGCTCCCGAATATCAACAGCATCAGGCAATGCTTTGGTTGCTATGAGTTCGACAACACAAAAAATTACTGCCTCAAGCAGTCCAAATGCGGTAAGTGCGGCCAGTCCCACTAGACAAACTCGGAGCAGTGCCAGACCAAAACGGTGGCAGACCTGCGTTGCTCTAACTGCGAGGGGAACCATGCTGCTTGCTATAAATGGTGCAAAGCATACCTGCAACGTTTGAATGCCAGAAAGCCGGTCGTTATTGTTGCCCCTTCGGTACGACACAACAAACAGCAACCTGCACGGCGCATGAACTCGAAGTTCGTACCCGCACGAATTGTCCAACAAGATCTGTCATATGCTGATGCGCTGCGGCCAGGCATCCACCAGCAACATGCACAAGCGCGCCAGCCCCTCGCGCGCACTAACCAGCCCGCCAATACACCAATACCGCCCCAATATCTACAGCAAGGATCTCAAGGGCAAGACACGTCCCCCTGAAGCATCCAGCTGCAGAATGCAGCAGTCGCAACCATCCTGGAAAGCATCAAGGAGCTGAAGGACGCGCAAGGTCCTCCACAGTTCGGTATTCCCATCAACTGTAAATAATGGATGCCCAGATGCGCCTTGGATCGTGAAACGCTCACAGCATCTTACAAAATGCAAGCGAGGTCAAACTATTTCTGAGAAAGCATGAAGTAGACATCATGCTTGTCTCAGAAACCTACATGGAGGGCTATGTGTGCTACCAAGCGGATCACACAACAGGTCGTGCCAGAGGAGGTGCTGCGGTCTTTGTGAAACAGGACTAGGTACATTAAAAGTATATGCTGCGACTGCCATCGGTGCGCCAGCGCAAATATACCGTTCGCTTACAAGCCACCATACAAGGTCGCTTCCCCCCAACGTTGAAGGCCTTCTTTCCTTGAAAAGGCGACTGAGAAGGGAGTACGTCTGCACCCAGGACCCCAGAATCGATAGGATCTATCACCGTATCGCCAATAGGGTCAGGAAGGAGTTGCCCACTGTGAAAAGAAAAGCTACAGACACCATGCTGGAGGAAGCCACGTCAGACGAGAGCTCCAATTTCGCGCTGTGGAAGCTTACTAGGCGATACAAACGGCAAGCTACGATAAAACTCCCCGAAACCTTCGCCTGTAACCTGAAGGAGCGCTTCAAGCCGTTTGAGACCGCATCACATGGCAGGATACAGCAAGTCGCGCAAACTCTGGAGGCGCCACTCCAAGTGTCCCTCCCCGTATCACCAATCACCTTCCAAGAAGGGAAGATCGATTGGACAACCAAATAATCAAGCTACTACCATACAAGGCGATGCCATCCTCGTTTCCATTCTTAATGCAGCTCTACGGCTAGGAGACTTTCCAGTGGCCTGGAAGAAGGCACAAATCACCTTGAATCTTATAGCCTTATCAGCCTCCTGCCTTCTTTCGGCAAGATTCTGGAAGGATGCATCCGTAGAAGGATCCTGGATACACCGGAGATAAAACTTCAATCCCAATGTTCCAGTTTGGGTTTCGATTTAAGCACGGTACCCGCAAACTTTATTTTGGACGGCTTTCATAGGAAGGAGTATGTGGTGGCAGCATACGTCGACATCCAACAAGCCTTCGACTGCGTGTGGTACGCTGGTCTCCTTTCAAAGATAAAGGGCAAATTAAATCCAGGATGGCATAGCCTCTCACACGAAACGCATAAGAGCGGGCGTCTCACAAGTTAGCGTTTTGGGTCCCACACTCTATAGCCTCTTAACGCACGACATGCCCACGGCAAACGAAGTGTCTCTTAGCAGTCGGCAGGACCTACTGGTGGCCACGTTTCCTGATGACACAGCAAACCTTGCCAAATATAGATGCGTATATAAAGCAACTGACATCCTGCAGGAGTACCTCAAGAGTACCGCTTCGAGAAATGAGCTTGTAGGTGGAACATCTCAGTGAACCCTGAAAAATGTGCTACGGTCACTCACACCCTGCGCAAAGACTCCTGCCCCGGACTTTTTCTCCATGGCAAGCTCTTAGAGCAGGTGCGTGAGTAAGAGGTTCTAGTCGGGAACTCCCAACTAGGGGATACCCTGAACCCTCTTATTCCAACACCAAATACAGCAATTAACCGCACTACTTGCCGCCGCCTCTACCCAACAGCCACACCAGACAAAAAAAAAAATAGTTCCTACGGTAGGGTTCGAACTCGCTACACACCACACCACTCACCGCCACCTTTACCCAACAGCCACACCAATACTTAACTCTTAATGAGAAAAAACCCAATAAAAAAGGCATCACAGAAAACAATACAATCACAATTGCAATGCTGTTGATAGAATTCAAAGAAGACGCGCATGAATATGTGTGTGTACATGTTTATTCGTGCAATTTGCTTGCTGCAAACACGTGGGCTGCCAAAACATATTTTCTTTCGTGTTTCTTATCCGATCTTGATGAAAGTTTCTACAGTACATCATATTGTACTAGAGCATATTCGTGTGTTATAAAAAAGTCAATTTCATTTAAAATGTGGCTTATTTTGTGGGCAGCATAAATTGGTTTATTTATTTGATTTAAAGCTATAAGGTAGTAGCGGGGAGGTGGTGATAGGCTTAAAATGAAAGATACTTGATAAATATATATATTCTAGCAGCTACATGTCAAGTTTGGTGACTCTAGCTCTTATTATTTACCAAAATTGCTCAAAAAACAGGATTTTGAAATCGATTTTCATCGATTACTTGGAACGGGGCTAGCTGTTGATGCTGATCAAGAATATATATACTTTATGGGGTCGGAGATGCTTCCTTCTGCCTGTTACATACATTTGCACAAATACATTATACCCTTCTTACCCATTTTCAATGGTTTCAGGGTATAAACGAAAATCAGGCGCTTGAGCTGCCTTCTAAGCACCATCAATAAACTCTCACTTCGAAACATGTTCCTTATTTATTAAGTGATCCTTGCCCATGCATGGCGATATGGGCTCCAAGTTTACGGTATTGCCCCAAAAACACATCTAAACATAGTTCGCATCATCCAGGCAAAGCATTGCGAAAACTTTCCAGAGCCGAATGTTATATTCGTACAGGGTACATAGCAAAAGACCTTACGTTTCCAATGATAGGTGACGTTGTCAACGGTCAAGCAGCGAGCTACATGATAAAGCTCCGCAACCACCGTAACGTCCTGGCAAGAACCTAAGGAGGTGAATAATAAGGATGCTTAAAAGGACCTTCCACGCAGACCTAGTCGATCAACGCCTTTAGTGTAGCATGGTCTGCATGCTCAATAAATAATCCAGTCCAAAAAAAATAAACATATACATACCATAAATGAATATCGAAACTCACCAACCTTAAAGCTATTATACCATGCGCCCCCGATACTCACTATGATAAAAGTTGCTAAACTACAGTAACAGCACATCAGTTAATAATAAAAGAATTTAAAAATAAAAAATTAACGAGTAAGAAGGGCTATCTTGCAGACCATAATGCTAATAGTGCTATGCTCGTATCTAAAAAGCACAGGGAAAATAGTTAATGTCGAGTTTGGTCAAGATATCTTGATAAGCAAGACATGACAGCTATATGATATAGTAGTCCGATGTAAATAAGATTTTGCAAAAATGAAGGGAACATAGTGGAATCTCTAAATGCCGTGTTTGATCAAAATATCTTAAAAGACAAAAAAATTTTCAGTCAAAAACTTAATTTTCGACTGATCGTTCCTGTGGCAGCTATATGAAATAGTAGTTTGATGTTGATAGGATTTTGCATATATATGAGGAGCATTGTAAAACTAAAAAATGCTGAGTTCGGTGCAGATATCTTAAAAAACAAAATACATTTTCATACAAGAACCTACTTTTCGACCGATCGTTCCTATTGCAGCTATACAACATATGTACTGCGTGCAACAGAAAGAGAGACTTCTGCAAAGTTTCATAAAGATAGCTTTAAAACTGAGAGACTAGTTAGCATAGAAACAGACAGACGGACATGGCTATATCGACTGGGCTGTTGATACTGATCAAGAATATATGTATATACTTTATGGGGTCGGAGATGTCTCCTTCTATGCGTTACACATTTCGCGACAAAATTATAATACCCTCCGCAAGGGTATAAAAAGTCAAATACACCATTAATCAATTATTATATTAATTGGATGTGAACAACAATGATTTACGCTGTGGGTTGTGGAATATATGAAATTTATGGTAGCAAAAGATGTGATTGTAAATTTGAAATTATGGTACATTCTAGAACTGTGGTCAGAGATAATCAAAGATAAACGAATCTGGGTTCAAGAATTAAACGATGGAAAAGAAAAAGCTCCCATTCAGTATTAGCATAAAGGTGTTCTCGTCATTTAAAATCTCTGGAGCAAACTCAATATATGCTGTGCCTCTTTTATTCAATTAACATTTATCATAGAGTAATAAACAGATACAGAGCTGAATACTCACTCCGAACTTTTACTACCGTTTTAATTCTGAAGCAAGGTCTATAAGGTTGGTCCGCAAACGCAAAATCAAACTCAAGAAATAAAGCTCATTTACCATAGAAAGCAACAACAAATCAGCTGCAAAACAATGACAGTGCGCATGAAACCATGGACATGGCATTCAAATCAAAGGGTTACGCACACGGCTCACCAACATCATATATTATGACGTCAAATTTTATAGAATTTCATTTCTTGTGTTGCTTAGAATATATTTCTATATTACGTACATTTAAGTTATTTATTGATAGGGTCTTTTAAATAATGAATTTATTTAAAAATTTACTGATTTTTCATTTCAGGTTATAAATTTTGATTCACCGCGAGGTGGCATATCATTGGTCACCGAAAAAGGTGTGCTGACCACCAGTCGGCTGCTAGTGCAGAAGGCCATCCAGCAAGACTCTGGGCTTTATACATGTACACCATCGAATGCCAATCCGACGTCGGTGCGGGTGCACATCGTCGATGGTGAGTAGCACGGTATGCAACAACTTTCGCTTCTATGCTCTTCTTTCTTTAGTGATATTGTTGAGAAATTGTGAGTGAAGAATTTACTGTCGCACGAAAAATCACAAGTGAGAATATAGTGGGCATGGCGGTAGCCGCAATGACAAAATAGCCTGTAATAAAATGTGCAGGGTAGGTACGGTAGGTTTTATAAAAGTTTATTTATTGTTTACTATTTGTTTTCTCTCACTCTGTGTTTACGTTTGGTGTGTGCTGGTCGTAGTTATATGAGCTTCGGAGACAAGTTTCCCAGGACGATATATATTCGATCCTGCGCCGTACATGTGACACAGCATGCCCCAAGGTTGCCCAGAAGTGTGACAGAAGCCAAATAGACTTCAAGGTAGCGTTCCTTGAATGCCGTTCGTCATTCAAACTGACGAACTGAGCATTTGACGAATGCTTACATGTTGTCCACTGGCCAGATTATGAAGAGACAGGTAAGCCTGTGTTAGGATTTGAATCAAAAACATAAAAATGGGGATTTGCCGATATTTATTTATTTATTTTTCAATATTAGTAAGATTTTTTGGTGGATGTTTATTTATTTTATAGGAATTATTTCTTAATTTTTTTTTTTGTATTAGGATTAGTAACCCTTAGAGAAAAGAGGGGTACAGTTTTCTTAAGGGATTAGTATGGCTGAGGAACAGGTGTCTGACTGGGTTTCGGACGCTGACGAAGCGCCGGACCTGTCACCGCCGCGTCCGGCAGGAGGTCTGGTGAGAACGGTAATGAATTTCCGGGGATTTCCTGCGAAACAGATCCCGGCGGAGGGTCATCTGGTAAATTTGGAGAAGGAATTGGCGCAACAAGGTAGACTTCCACGGAACCTAGAGTTCCCAAAATCGACGAAGGACTCAGTGCTCATATCGGCATCGAACGCGGCGATAGCTCAAGCCCACCAGACATATTTGCATGCCCTGCCATCTGGCATCAGCGAGTCCATCCGCGAGGAGGTGCGAACAGGCTTCATGGAGATGATGAAGGGCATCATTGATTTGCTAGGACCGCCAGGGAGCCGCGAGAGTCTAACATTGCCCCAATGCCGACGAGACTCATCGTGCCGGGACCGCAAACAGGCACCATCCCAAAAGAGCGAGAGGGATCCAGCGCGAGGTATTTCTGCCACCGGTGCCACCGAAGCCACACAGAAAAGGCGCGCGAGGAGCGGAGTACTCATCCAGCAGCCCAGTATTCGTTGCAGATACTCAGGCGAGGAACTGGCGTAATTTGAATAATCGCCACTTCCGAGTAGAGGACCGCAGAGCGAATGACTTTCAGCCGGAGGAAGCATATGCGCCAACTATCCGCGCTATTCCAGAAGCCGCTGAGAGACCGCGAGCTGGTGAAGAGTTGAAGGAGGGTCTAGCAAAATATGACAATGTTATGGATGCACTCGCCGTGGATGAGCTGCGCCAAGAGTGCATGGAAGTGGAGAGGCACATTGGTCGCAGAAGCTGGACTAGGTACGTGCAGCCGTAGCGTTACTCGCAAGCAGCAAAACCGATAGTTCACGAGGTTAAGGTACCACCACATCGTGCGGAAACCCCGTCTAGAGAACTGGAGGAGGCCTTCGTGCGAGGCAGGACATCTTCCAGGCTTGTATGCTGGAACTGTAGGCAGTTCGACCATGCCTTTAGAGACTGCCTGTCTAAAGAGAGGAAGATATTCTGCAATAGATCCGGAAAGCCGGACACATTCTGCTCACTGTAGTGTGCGAAAATTGTCCGGGAAATCCCAGGGGAAATCCCCCGATGATGGCGGGACAGACGCGTTCGGGGACGGCGACCGCGGAAAAACAGGAGAAAAGCACCTACCAAAGCCAATGGTCTTTGAAAAGGAGGCGAAGATAGACCATAAGAACCATTATAAGGCTATGTATAAGGATATACCAAAGGAAGAACATTAAGGGGCTCACCATATGAAGAACGTGTTCGGGCATACATGTCGGCCCGAAATAGAATTTTTGGTGAGCGACAGCTGGGCCACCCGAAGAATGGTGAAGGCTCGTGCGCGGTTTCGTAGACGCAGGATTACGTGGCGCCAGGTCATGAGACTGTGAGACGAGAGGATTGCATAGACCCACGCGTGTTCGCCGAAGTGGAGGTCGCTGGTTTGTTAGTCACAGGAGCCTCTGTCAGTGTGCTAGGAAAGGGAAGTCGAAAGTTGGTCAAAGAATTAGGGGGGACGGTACAACCTTACGTTTCGGTAGTCACAACTGCTGGAGCAGAGGATAAATCGATTTTTGGTAGGGTAGAACTTCCAATCTTGTACGGGAAACATCATAAAATAATAATGTTTTTTATCTGCCCCTACCTGAAACAGCTAGCCGACTTTGGGATTGATTTCTGGCGAGCATTTAATCTAGCCCGACATTTTGGGCCCCGAGAAGCTAATCTCCACAGAACGCCAAGTGGAAGAGCTTATGGCCGTGTCGATGCCGCACTATGCGGATGAAGAGGAAGAACTCGAAAGTGAGCCATATTCATGGGAGTTGACTAGGGAAGAAAGGATAGAGTTGGAGGCGGACAAGCGGGAGTTTTTGTCTTTTGAAAGTAGCGAATTAGGAACGATGAACTTAGAGAAACACAATTTCGACTTAATTAAAATACCTTGGATTCATTATTGGTGGTGGCACGCTTCGCATGGACCCCGAACGGGTTATAGCTATCAAACGAATGTTGATAGGATTTTGCATATATATGAGGAGCATAATAAAAATAATAAATGCTGAGTTCGGTGAAGTTATCTTAAAAAACAAAATACATTTTCATACAAGAACCTACTTTTCGACCGATCGTTCCTATTGCAGCTATACGATATAGTGATCCGATCCAGCTGGTTCCAACATATGTACTGCGTGCAACAGAAAGAGAGACTTCTGCAAAGTTTCATAAAGATAGCTTTAAAACTGAGAGACTAGTTCGCATAGAAACAGACGAACGGACAGACGGACATGGCTATATCGACTCGGCTGTTGATACTGATCAAGAATATATGTATATACTTTATGGAGTCGGAGATGTCTCCTTCTATGCGCTACACATTTCACGACAAAATTATAATACCCTCCGCAAGGGTATAAAAAGTCAAATACACCAATAATCAATTATTATACTAATTTGATGTGAACAACAATGATTTACGCTGTGGGTTGTGGAATATATGAAACTTATGGTAGCAAAAGATGTGATTGTAAATTTGAAATTATGGTACATTCTAGAACTGTGGTCAGAGATAATCAGAGATAAACGAATCTGGGTTCAAGAATTAAACGATGGAAAAGAAAAAGCTCCCATTCAGTATTAGCATAAAGGTGTGCTCGTCATTTAAGATCTCTGGGGCAAACTCAATATATGCTGTGCCTCTTTTATTCAATTAACATTTATCATAGAGTAATAAACAGATACAGAGCTGAAAACTCACTCCGAGCTTTTACTACCGTTTTAATTCTGAAGCAAGCTCTATAAGGTTGGTCCGCAAACGCAAAATCAAACTCAAGAAGTAAAGCTCATTTACCATAGAAAGTAACAACAAATCAGCTGCAAAACAATGACAGTGCGCATGAAACCATGGGCATGGCATTCAAATCAAAGGGTTACGCACACGGCTCACCAACATCATATATTGTGACGTCACATTTTATAGAATTTCATTTCCCACTATTATTGGTGGTGGCACGCTTCGCATGGACCCTGAACGGGTTATAGCTATCAAACGAACTCCCGTGCATCGGTCGCGCAAAGAAGTTCGCTCATTTTTGGGTACAGCAGGTTGGTACTGGCGCTTTGTGCGAGATTTCGCGACCATGGCCGCACCTCTGACCGGAATTTTAAAAGAAGATAGCGGCAAGTTTGTGTTGAGTGACGACACCGATGATCAGGAACGACCCATAGCATTCTTTTCAGCCAAGTTAAACAAACACCAACGGAACTATTCCTTCACTGAAAATTTCAGACCGTATATAGAAGGGATGTCTTTTACATACATCACCGACCACGCCAGCTTAAAATGACTGATGTCCATGAAGGACCTAAACGGGAGACTAGCTCGTTGGTCGTTGCAGCTGCAAGGAACCGACTTTACCACCGAGCACCGTAAAGGCAGTGAAAACGTGGTAGCCGACAATCTATCGTTCTGTGTCGAAGCAGTGGGCAAGGTTCCCAGAATATCAGGCGTTGCTCGAACAGGTACGTTCGAATCAGGACAAACTACCAGACCTGAAGGATAAGGGGGGTTTACTTTTTAAGCGCATGGGGTTCGTCGACCTAGAAGACAAGTAAGAAGGCACCGTGTGGAAGCTGTGGGTGCCAATCTCGTTGACAGCCGGCTTAATAGCGAAGGCTCATGTAGATAAGAAAACACTCGAGACATTACGTCTGCAGTTTTACTGCCTGGCATGGCTAGTCAGGTAAGGGATTGGGTAAGACAGTCCGTGACATGCAAGGAAATTAAGGCACTGAACTTCGGCATGCAAGTGGGTCTAAGAAAAGAAGTAGTGACCGAGCGACCATTCCAAAAACTGTATATAGACTTTCTGGGAAAGTACCGACGTTCGAAGCAAGGGCACGCTTTAATCTTTGTAGTAGTCGACAATTTTTCAAAATTCACGTTCTTTAAAGCGGTGCGAGAGGCTACGGCTCTTAACATAGTGGACTTTTTGGGCAGCGAGGTTTTTATTAGTTTGGAGTACCCGAGGCCTTCACTCTGACATCGGACTACAGTTTATATCGGGTACTTTCCAAAACATGATCGCAGCCTTCGGCATCTCGCATCTACGCGCCACAGAGCAGTGCAAGCGAACGAGTTAATCGTACCGTGTTGTCGGCAATCAGGGCGTATCTGGAGCAAGATCACTGCGAGTGGGACCTTTGCCTTCATGAAATAGAAGTCTATACGCAATGCCATACACACGGCGACAGGGGTGACGCCATTCTTTGCCGTTTTCGGATATCACATGTTCCTAAACGGGGCAAGTAACAAATTGGCTCGTAGGTTGGGGTCTCTGGGTGATCGTGATATTCCTCATTTGCACCCAGCAGACAAAATACACCTTATTAGAGAGCGAGTCCAAAGCCAGCTACACCAAGCTTACGAAAGAAGTCATCGGCAGGCCAAGAAGTTTGCAGACGCAACTTGGTACTGAGCGATTTCGGGAAGGCTTTTAACGCCAAATTTGCTAAGAAATTCCCAAAGGGCAGAGTAGTGCGTCGAGTAGGGAACAACTCGTACTTGCTAGAAGAGTTGCAAAGGAAGCCCCAAGGAGTGTTTCATGCAAAGGATAGACCAAGGTCGTGGTGTGCCTCACGTTGGGCGCGGCTCAGTTTAAGGAAAGAGGTAGGCCGGCCAGGCTGGGCGCAGACAGAGGCAGGAGACCCGACTTCGAACCCAATGCTCCCGTCTGCGACCATGCGTCGTTGGGAATCGACGCGAGAGGCATCCGCGCTAGAAGGCACGTCGACGACTGCCAGCGTCTTTTCGCCCGTCGCTGACACCGAGAGTCGACCAAGAGACGAAGCGGCCACAGGCGAGACAACGTCCACATCATCCGAGTGAGTCTGTTCTATTTCGTCCCTCCACGCCCCGAGCAACTGGCCGAGGCAGAAGCAGACTCATATTTGAAATGTTTGAAAAGATTTTGAAATTATTAAATTTAGTTTTGTTTGTCGGCCTTATGTAAACATTCGCATATATATAAAATCTATTGCTATTATCTTTTAAGAAAAACTTCATTGATCTCCGACAGTGAAGGAAAGGCCCCAAAAGTTATTGTGTCTGCCATCTAAAAAAAGAAAAAACAACGAAGTAATTGTGCTTCCACACGATCCATACATATATATATATATCGCCCTTAGCGCCCCAGAAAGCTCTTTAGGTAGGTTAAGTGTATTTCAGCGATTTAATGCCTACTAATTTATTTTTTTTTCAGCGTGGTAACACATATATATATATACGTGCGCGAACGCGTGGGGGCTGATCGCTTAATTTAATATTTAAAATATTTGTTCTCCCACGTTCCCAACGGCGGGTGGCATAGCTTTCGGTGACGTCCTTTCTTTGTGTTTTTCGGCTATAAATGAAATTTTAGAAAATCATATTAATTGTCAATAACCATAAGTTAATGCAAAAATGTATACGTACATGTTGAAGTGAGAGAGATGTTCATTAGCATGACATTATATAAAGAAGGTCGTAGATGTTCCGTAAAAAGATAATAAAATAAGCTATAAGATCAATTGTTAATAATTATAAGATGATGCAAATAATTATACGCACCTGTTGAAGTAAATGAAATGTCAGCTTGCACGGAATCATTAATCATTTCTTGTTGTTATAGCTGTTTATGTTCTTCATTTGTTAGAAGTTCCCGCTGTTTGATTATTATCGATTTTGTGGTTCGTTTTGGATAGTGTTGTGTAGGTCTGTTTTCTACAGAAGTTGTAGCTTGTTGATATCGATTATGGGACCTGCGGGCCAGGGATGGGACTACACCCAGAGAACCGATGAGCCAGCCGGCGCGGCCCAAAGAGCAACAAGCAGTCACGTAACAACACATACACACAGCACAGAATACAACAATATCGCAATTGTAATGCCGTCGATAGAATTCAATTATACAGAAATTTCAAGCCTCTAGCTCTTATAGGTTCTGAGATCCTGGCTTTCATACATACGAACGGACTCACAGACGGAAAGACGGTCGGACGGACAGACAGACGGACACGGCTAGATCAACTTGGCTATTGGTGCTGAACAAGAATATAAGTATATACTTTATGGGGTCGGAAATGCTTCCTTCAGCCTGTTACATATATTTGCATTTTTTTACCCATTTTTTATGGGTTCAAGGTATAATAAGAGCGTCATGTATATCAACTAATGTTTCGGATAGATACACATTGGTGTAACTTTATTTTGTTGATATATGTGGGACCGCAGTTGAGAAAGGAACACTTTAAATATTAATCTATGGTAAGATATTTTTTATATTTAAGGATCTACATTTGGTTAGTTTTTTTCAGAACTTAATCTTCATTTTTTTTTAACTTTACAACTTTATAATTTTTTATATAGGAAGTCGAAAAAAAAAGTTTTCTGACAGGAATAA